CTAGAACTTAACTTTAGCCTAAGCCTTACCCTAGCCATAACGCCCACCCTGATTCTAACACTTAAATGCATCCTAAACATAAATGTTAAATTAATCACAGTCCAAGCACGAATGCCAAGCCAAACCCTGAACGTAAACCTAACCCTAGCCCACACCCTAACCCTAACCGTAAACATTATTCTAAACCTGACCCTAGCACTTACCTTTAGCCTAAGCCTTACCCTTGCCATTACGCCGACCCTGATCCTAACAATTAAATGCATCCTAAACATAAATCTAAAATTAATCCCAGTCCAAGACCGAAACCGAATCCAAACCCTGACCTTAACCGTAAACCTAGCAATAACCCTACCGCTAACCGTAAACATTATTCTAAAGCTGAGGCTTTAAACTGAAACTTTAGCCTAAGCCTTAACATACACATAAAGCCGACCCTGATCCTAAAAATGGAATGCATCCTTAACATAAATCTATTATTTATCACAGTCCAAGCCCTTAAACGTTCCAAAACCTAACCGTAAATCTATACACATCACTAACCCTCACTTAATCCGAAAATATTATTCTAAACCTGAACCTAGTCCTTACCTTTAGCCTAAGCCTTACCCTAGCCATAACGCCGACCCTGAACCGATCACTTAAATGCATCCTAAATATAAATCTAAAATTAATCACAGTCCATCCATTAACCGAAGCATAACCCTGACCTTATCCCTAATCCTAGCACTAACCCTAAACCTAACCGTAAATATTACTCTAAACCCGAAGCTTAAGACTGAAACTTTAGTCTACGCCTTACCGTAGCGATATCGCCGACCCTGATCCTAACACTTAAATGCATCCTAAACATAAATCTAAAATTAATCACAGTCCAAGACCGAAACACAAGCCAAACCCTGACCGTAAACCTAACCCTAGCACACACCCTAACCCTAACCGTAAAAATTATTCTAAACCTGAACCTAGAACTAACATTTATCCTAAGCCATACCCTAGCCATAACGCCGACCCTGATCCTAACAATTAAATGCATCCTAAACATAAATCTGATATTAATCACAGTCCTAGCCCGCAACCTAAGCCAAACCCTGACCGTAATCTTAAACCTTGCCCTAAACCTAACCCTAACCGTAAACTTTAATCTAAACCGGAGGCTTTAGACTTAACATTTAGCCTAAGCCTTACCAGAGACATAAAGCCGACCCTGATCATAACAATTTAAAGCATCCTAAAAATAAATCTAAAATTATTCACAGTCCAAGGCCGAAACCGATGTCAAACCCTGACAGTAACAATAAACATACCACCTACCCTAACCCTAACCGTAAACATTAATCTAAACCTGACCCTAGAACTAAACTTTAGCCTAAGCCTTACAATAGCTATAAAGCCGACCCTGATACTAGCACTTAAATGCATCCTAAATATAAATCTACAATTAAACGCAGTCCAAGACCGAATCCGAAGCCAAACTCTGTCCGTAACACTACCCAAACCACTAACCCTAACCCTAACCGTAAACATTATTCTAAACCTGACCCTAGCCCTAAACATTAGCCTAAGCCTTAAACTAGACATAACGCCGACCCTGATCCTAACACTTAAATCTTTCCAAAACATAAATCTAAAATTATTCACAGTCAAAGCCCGAAAGCGAAGCCAAGCTCTGAACGTTGCAGTAACCCCAGACCTAACATTTAGGCTAGGCCTTAAACTAGCCATAACGCCGACCCTGATCCTAACACTGAAATGCATCCTTAAAATGTACGTTAGATATATCACAGTCCAAGCCCGAAACCGAAGCCAAGCCCTGACCGTAACACTAACCCTAGCACTAACCCTAACCCTAACCGTAAAAATTAATCTAAACCTAAGCCTAGCCCTAACCCTTCGCCTATGCCTTACCCTAGTCATAACACCGAACCTGATCCCACCAATTAAATGCATCCTTAAACTAAATCTAAAATTAATCACATTCAAAGCCCGAAACCGAAGCCAAACACTGACGGTTTCTATAACACAAGCCCTAACCCTAACCATAACCATATTCATTAATCTAAACATGAACCTAGTCCTATTCATTAGCCTTAGCCTTAACCTAGCCATAACGCCGACCTTGATCCTAACAGTTCAATGCATCCTAAACATAAATCTAAAATTTATCACATTCCAAGCCCGAAAATGAAGCTAAAATGCGAACCTGAATATAACCCCAGAACCAACCTTTAGCCTAGGCCTTAAACTAGCCGTAACGCCGACACTGATCCTTCAAACTTAAAAGCATCCTTAACATATATCTAAAATTAATTACAGTCAAAGCCCGTAACCGAACCCAAACACTGACCGTAAAATTAACCCTAGCCCTAAACCTCACCATAACATTAAACAATTTTCAAAACAGGATCCTAGAACTAACCTTGAGCCTAAGCCTTACCCTAGCCATAACGCCGACCCTGATACTAACAATTAAATGCATCCTAAACATAAATATAATATTAATTACAGTCCAAGCCCGAAATCGAAGCCAAACCCTGACCGTAAACGTACACCTAGCTCTAACCCTAACGCTAATCGTGAAATTTATTCTAAACCTGAACCTAGGCCTAGCCTTTAGCCTAAGCCTTACCCTAGCCATAACGCCAACCCTGATCCTAACACTTAAATGCATCCTAAAAATAAATCTAAAATAAATCGCCGTCCAAGCCCGAAACCGATGCCAAACCCTGAGCGTAACGTTAAACATGGCCCTAACCCTAACCCTAACCGTAAACATTAATCTAAACCTGAACCTAGCCCTAACCTTTAGCCTAAGCCTTACACTAGACAAGACGTCGACCCTGATCATACCACTTCAAACTGTCCTAAACATAAATCTAATATTAATCACCGTCCAAGCCCGAAACCGAAGCCAAATCCTGCCCCTATCCCTAAACCTAGCCCTAACACTAAACCTAACCGTAAACATTATGCTAAACCTGAACCTAGACCTACCCTTTAGCCTAAGCCTTAACCTAGACATAACGCCGACCCTGATCCTAACAATTAAATGCATTCTAAACATGAATCTAAAATTAATCACAGTCCAAGCCCGAAACCGAAGCCAAACCCTGATCGTAACCATAGCCCTATCCCTAACCGTAAAGGTAAACATTATTCTAAACCTGGCCCTAGACCTAACCTTTAGCCTAAGCCTTACATTAGCCATAACGCCGACCCTGATCCTAACACTTAAATGCATCCTAAACATAAATCTATAATTAATCACAGTCCAAACCCGAAAACGAATCCAAACCCTGACCGTAACCCTAACCCTAGCCCTAACCCTAACCCTAACGGTAAACATTATTCTAAACCTGACCCTAGCCCTAACCTTTAGCCTAAGCCTTACATTACCCATAACGCCGACCCTGATCCTAACACTTAAATGCATCCTAAACATAAATCTATAATTAATCACAGTCCAAACCCGAAAACGAATCCAAACCCTGACCGTAACCCTAACCCTAGCCCTAACCCTAACCCTAACCGTAAACATTATTCTAAACCTGACCCTAGCCCTAACCTTTAGCTTAAGCCTTACCCTGGCCATAACGCAGACCCTGATCCTAACACTTAACTGTATCCTAAACATAAATCTGAAATTAATCACAGTCCAATCCCGAAACCGAAGCCAAATCCTGACCGTAACCCTAACCCTAACCGTAAGCATTATTCTAAACCTGACAATTTAGCCTGCTACTTAAGCCTAAGCCTTACCCTAGCCATAACGCCGACCCTGATCCTAACACTTTAATGCATCCTAAACATGAATCTAAAATTAATCACAGTCCAAGCCCGAAACCGAAGCCAAACCCTGACCGTAACCCTAACCCTAACCGTAAACATTATTCTAAACCTGACCCTAGTCCTAACCTTTAGCCTAAGCCTTACCCTAGCCATAACGCCGACCCTGATCCTAACACTTAAATGCATCCTAAACATGAATCTAATATTAATCACAGTCCAAGCCCGAAACCGAAGCCAAACCCTGACCGTAACCCTAACCCTAGCCCTATCCCTATCCCTAACCGTAAACATTATTCTAAACCTGAGCCTAGCCCTAACCTTTAGCCTTAGCCTTACCCTAGCCATAACGCCGACCGTGTTCATAACTTAAGTTTATCCTAAATAACCGAAAACTAACTATATTCCAAGCCCGAGTCCGAGGCCAAACCCTGACCCTGTCCCTAATCTTTACATTAATCATTTCGCTATCGCTTTCTCCAACATTCAGTAGAATCCCAATTCTCAACCCTTGACCTAACCATAATCCTTGCTCTTACTGAGACTCCTACCTGACCAAACCCGTAGCCTAAATCTAAGCTTAAACATAACTTTAAACCTAAACCTTATGCCTAAGCTGGCCCTCATCCGAAGCCTAAATGTAGCACTTAACATTACCCTAAACACTTCCCTTACCCTAACGCTTACTCTGCATATAAACTTCAGGCTAAGAGTGGACCGAAGAAAGCAAAAGGTCAGCTTATCCAAATCCTAAACTCTTCGCTTTAGATTACCCTAAACAAATCCCTAGCCCTAAATGTAACCCTTAACCGAACACTATATTTTACCCTAAACCTCGTTCTAACCCTAATCCTAACCCTCTCGCGAAACCTAATTCTCAGCCAAAACTTAACACTTATTCTTATTCTATCCATAGTTGAAACCCTGAATTTATCTCGACTCATGACCCTTAACCTGACTCTTGGTGTAAAATTGACCTTCAGCCAAAGCATATACCTAACGGTGCCCTAATCCTAACCCTTACCCTAAGGTCAGCCGTAATCCGAACTCTAATCCTAACACATATCCTTACTCTTACCCTGTCCCTAACCCCGAAACCGACCCTAAACCTATCCCTTAGCATATCCCAATCCCGCAGAAGAGTCGTTTGGGTAGTCGCTCGTCGTCCATGCGCACCAGGTGGCCGCTCCAGCGCAGCTGCATTTGTCACAGCATCGCTAGATGCTGAGGATTCCCGTTCGTTCCAGTACTTCCGTGTCAGGGATTCGATCCTGCCAGTTCAGCCTCAGGATGCGACGAAGACAACTGAGATGGAAGTGGTTCAGTCGGCATGCCTGCCTCGTGTACACCGTCCAAGTCTCCTCTCCGTACAGCAGCGTCGGCAGGATGACGGCCTTGTACATCTTCAGATTCGTGCTCAGTTGGAGACCATGACGATTCCAAACTGTGCTTTGGAGGCGTCCGAAGGCTTGACTGGCTTTCGAGATCCTGTTGGCGACTTCGTCATCGATCTTTGTGTTGCGAGATAGGGTAATTCCCAGGTACGGGAAGTTCTCTACCACTTGCAGTTGGGTTCCGTTCACGCTGATTTGCGGCGACGCGTTGGGGGCTGTGGCTGAGTTGGGTTGCGGTTGATGCATCACCACCGTCTTCTGCTTGTTGATAACCAGCCCAAAGATCTCGCAGGCGGCGGAGAATAGGTCCATGCTCCGTTGCATCTCCTCTTCCGAGGTGATGTTCAGGGCGCAGTCGTCGGCGAAGAGGAGTTCGTGAACGTTGGTTGTGGATACGCGCGATTGGAAGTGCATCCGTCGTTGATTCAGCAGGTGACCGTCCGTCCTGTAGGCGATGCGGATCCCGGGGCGTTCGTCGCGTTAGGCTTCCATAATGGGCATGGAAGAGAACATAAGACTGAAGAGGGTAGGCGCCAGCACGCATCCCTGCTTCACTCCGTTGGTCACTGCGAATGCCTCTGAGACAGCTCCGTTGTCCGTGACTCGCGCCATCATACCGTCGTGCAGCTGAGTCACCATCTGATTGAATCGCTCCGGACAGCCGAATTTCTGCATGATCTTCCACAATCCTTCACGATTCACCGTGTCGAAGGCTTTCGTCAGATACACGAAGGTAGAATGCAGGTAAGCCCGCATCTCCTGGCACTTCTCCTGAAGTTGACGGGCGGCGAAGATCATATCCGTGGTCCCACGATGACGACGGAAGCCGCATTGGCTTTCCGGCAGAAGGCCCTGTTCCAGATGGTTGTTGAGGCGGTTGAGAAGGATGCGAGCGAAGATCTTCCCGGCGATGTTCAGCAAGGAGATGCCACGGTGATTGTCGCAGATTTGACGATTCCCTTTTCGCTTGTATAGGTGCAAGACTGTTACGTCCTTGAAATCTTGCGGGACTTCTCCTTGACGCCACATCTCCTCGAAGAGCGCAAACAGGTGATCCATCAGTTGGGGACCCCCGTGCTTGTAGACCTCAGCAGGGATTGCGTCCGATCCGGGTGCTTTCCCGCAGGAGAGCTGTTGCACGGCCCTGATGGTCTCCTGGAGAGATGGCGGGAGGTCAAGGTCCACGTTGGTCTCCACTTGCGGCAAACGCTCGATGGCGGAGTCGGAGATGACGGAGGGGCGATTGAGGACGCCTTGGAAATGCTCGGCGCATCGCTGTAGGATTTGCGTCTTCTCAGTCAGGAGAGTGCTGCCGTCGGCACTGAGGAGAGGAACAGTGCCCTTCGTCGGCGGACCGTAGACAGCTTTGATCGCGGAGAAGAAGTTCTTCCATTCGTTGCGGTCCGCGTAGCCTTGGATCTCCTCAGATTTGCGAGCATTCCAGGTGTCCTGCATCTCGCGCAGTCGTTGCTGAAGTTTGCCTCGACTGCAGTAGAAGGCAGCTGTGTTGTCCTCAGTGGGGTGATCTACGTAGGCTTTGTGTAGGCGGTTCTTCTCAGTGAGCATATTTCTGCGGCGGCGTCGTTGTCGTCGAACCAGTCCTGGTGTTGGCGGGGAGCGCTACCGAGGACGGCGAGTGCCGTCGACTGGACCGTGTCTCGCAGTTGACACCAGCGGTTCTCCACGGAGGCGTTCTCGGCAGCGGCGGCGGCGTCGGCAGCGATAGGAAGGTTGTCTAGCCGTTGAGCTAGCTCATTGCCGAAATGAAGATGATGAGCGGGCAAAGACAACAAAGCAACATTCAGCTTACCTGGGGGTCGCTTACCATGTGGTCTCCTGCGAGGCTGTAGGCGAATACGTATCTTCGAGATGACGAGGCGATGGTCGGTCCACCCGTCAGCACCCGCGATCGCCTTCGTCCCCAGCACGTCCCGCTGGTCACGCATTCGGACGAGGACATAGTCCAGCAGGTGCCACTGACGCGACCGAGGATGCCTCCAGGTGGCCTTCTCTCGCTCCGGCAGACAGAAGAACTTGTTCGTCAGGATGAGGCGGTGTTCTGCGCAGGTGCGGAGAAGCAGCAAGCCGCTGTCGTTGGAGCCGCGGAGACCGTGGGGGCCCAGCACTCCTCTCCAGGCAGTATGGTCTGCGCCGACGCGGGCGTTGAAGTCGACAAGGACAATCAACTTGTCCGCCTTCGACACAGTCGCCAAGAGGGCGTGCAGGTCCTCGTAGAATCTGTCTCTTGCGGTGGCGTCGGGGCTGCTCATCGTCGGAGCGTAGGCGCTGATGATGGTGGCGAATTTGCCCCCACCCCGGAGAGGCAGACGAGGCTCATCAGGCGATCGTTGATGCCCTGTGGTAAACAGGGCAGTCGTCCCACGATGTCAGTCCGGATGGCAAAGGCGACACCCGCGTCTCGTCGCTCTGCCTTGGGTCGACCGCTCCAGAAGAAGGTGTAACCGGCACCCACCTTCTCCAGTTGGCCTTGTTCGGAGAATCGGGTCTCGCTGAGTTCGGCGATGTCCACCTTGTAGCGCGCCAGTTCCCGGGCAACTAGGGCTGTCCTCCGTTCCGGTCGGTTGCTCCTCGGATTGTCTTAAAGGGAACGAACATTCCAGGCTGCCAGAGTGAGCGGGCTCACCCTGCCAGTCTGGCGACTGCGGCGGCGAAAAGTATGAGTAGGAGAAGAAGAAGAAGAATAGGCTGGAAGAGGAAGAGAGTGATTGTTGTTATTGTTGTTTCGGTTTTGGCTGTTTCGACCGTGTGTTTTTTGCCTGCGGCCACGGCCAGCCTACAGACAGCGTGGTTCCCAGCGATCTTTAGGGCACCTTTTCTAGTCCCCTCCCCCTCGCGAGGGCAGGCAACGCATCCCTGAACAGGGCTGCCCGGTTATCCCAGACGGCTGCCGAACTCCACTATGGGCCACGACTTTTTGTTAATGAGAGAACGACCCGAATTAGCCTGGGAACTTGGTGGTGATGGTGATGTGATGGAGTGAAGTAGGAGAGAGCATACACACAAACAGAACGCTATGGGACTTACAGCTAGCTAGAGTGGACAAACAGACACATTCATCAGTCAGAGACAAAGTGAGGGCACCACACAAAGTCAAGCACCGTAACACCTAGCTATTAGTAGAGTGGCAAGGACTGACGGACAGACAATCGCAGCAGGCATCGAAGGTGTCGGTTAGCTATTAACAGACAGACTAGCATACAGACGGCAGGCAGCAAGAGCAGCATACGACACGGAACATCAACAGACAAAAGGCAGAAACAGAGCAAATGCACTTACCTGAGGAAGAACTTACCTGGTGGCCTCCTGCGATGGTCCAGGCAGAGCCTCGTCTCAACGATGTCGACGCGAAGATCCATCCGACCAGCGCAGACCACAGTACCGCGCGTGCAAATGCACGCACGGATACCCTCACCTGGTTTAGCCCGCAGGTCGAGATGGTTGCCCAGGGTGTGGCCGCTGAGCAGAGCCCAGCTACTTGGAGCCACAGGTGAGAGTTAGGTTTCAGCAAGTGGGCGCTAGGCGTAGTCTCACCTGCAAGCAAGTGAGCGACAACTACGACCATTACGTGAACCCACCGCTGACACCCTACACCCCGCACCACATCACACGCACAACCGCCATGCCTACTCCTCCACCACCACCGTCACCCCTCCACACATCAGCACTCAACCACCGCAAGCACCCAAGTGTCACCTCTCACGGAAGTGGGATGTGTGCATCTCTACTCTGTCCGCATGCGGCTCCGGCTAGCGTCCATTTGCTGGCACCAATGCTGGTCCCAATGCGGATTCGGCTGCGCGGGTTACTTGAGTCCGAGACTATCACGACACGTCAAGTGTCGTGGATAGGAAGGTTGCTGACTGACGCCCGCTCTCGGTTCACGCAGTTCGTCACGTTGTGTGTGTGTGTGTGTGTGTGTGGAGTGGCGGACTGGTGGGCTGGGGACGGGCTGAAGCAGCACCTTCCACGGCCCTCTCACTCAAGTGAGAGACACGCCGCTCAACCCCCGTTGTGTGAAATCCTGGTGTTTTTGTGTGTATGGGGGTCCAGGTCGTGCTGTGGCGCGCTCAAACATGGTCAGTCGACCGTGTCAGCCACCGCGCCCATTCCCCACACTAGTCTGCTGACCGGCTCGGACGGCGGCTGGGGTGTGGGAATGGGAAGGGAGAGTGAGGTCGACGACTCAGCGCATTTTCTCCTCAGTATATTCAATCTGACGCGCTTGAAGCTATCACGGTGCGCTAAAAGCCGTGGCTTGGAAGGTTGCCAACTGACGGGGTAACTTGGACCTCCTCCTTAACGGGAGGCGGTCTGAGACTCAGGCTGCATTGGCTCCTTTTTAATGTGACCTTTATGGCAGTTCTACCACAGTGTGGGATCCGAGCCAGGCGTTGGCGGCACGCCCAGGTGCGGCTTCGGCCGTACCAGCCTCCAAATCTCTGTTGTGTTGGTTGAAATCCTAGTTATTGTTGTGAAGACCAGGGGGTGTGGTGGAAGGCCTAGGTGAGGATCCGTCCGAGCCATCCACTTGCGGCCTCTCTCGTCTCCGGTCTTCTTGACTCTGTCTTGACACCGGGCCCAGACGGGGGAGGAGGAGAGAGTGTAGGTAGATGCAGCGCATGTATACCGGCACTTTAAACCTCTTTGCAATTCGCCGACCCTGCTCCCACCGCTGCTTCAAGGACTGTTCGAAGGACTCGACTCCCACGTCATTAGCATGCGCGATGCTAAATGTGGGTTGGAACTACCTAGCTTAACATTTTTGTGTCATGTTTTTCGATATGAACGTCCCTTTGTCCCAGGGACTTTGCGACAACAAGTCTTCCATGTTTTTCACAGCCGATCCCACTCTGGAGTTCGGGCGACAATGAAACCCATCAGTGACAGATCTGTCTGGCCCAACATCAACAGGGATGTATGACGACGACCCGTTCTTGTCTGTCATGTCAACGGGCCAAAATTCACCGACACACACACACACACACACACACACACACACACACACACACACGACAGTTCGACCGTCGATTTCGACGATGTCCACCGTGTGCCCCACAGCTGCAGCAGCGGTGGGAGCAGGGACGGTGAC